GCTTAAGCAAGAAAAAAAACATGCTGCACCCAACCTTGAAGGTACATCTGTGCTTCACTCCAGGTCTCTGCTCTGTGAACTATTTAACTGCACATAAAGCATAAAACTAATGTAAAGGTAGTCAATGGGACAGTTCACATATTTGAAGAAAATCATACATTTAAGTCATGGTTTGGAGCAGAGTCTTAAATTGCAGGCCCTTGTACTATTAAGTTTGACTCCATGCAGTTATTTCTCACCATTCATTATCCAGAGAAATTAAGTACTCTTGGATAAAAAGATCCTACATTATTTCATGGTGCAGACAGACTAATTCAACTAATAATTGTGACGCTTACCAAAGCTTTATTTTTGGAGTACCACACGCAGGGCAAAACTGTACAACTCTGATCCATCTTCTTGATTGCATGCGAGTTTCTCAAAAAACCACAAACATCCTCCCTCAGTGCAGCAACCATTACTGAAGCCTCCTCAGAGTTCTCTTTTCTGTCCATGCCACTACCAACTCTTGCAGAAATGGTTTGCTTCTGACTTCACAGGTAGGTCTTATGATCAGATCACAGGTATTGTTGTTTCTTTTTAGAGCACTGATCACAGGACATTCCATTTTCACTGGGCAACTCATAAACCCAAGGTGAAAGCAGTACTGCTTTTAAGCACCATCATGCATAAAGTATAGTTAAGCCTATCAGAACAAACCTCAACAAGTCATTCTACCAAAGCTGTTACACTACATCAAAACTGCAGCTGCCTATTGCCTCCCCTGGTGTATATATTTAGGATACTTTAAAAAAAAAAAAAATGCTTTTTTTTCAGAGTAACTTAGGGAGAATTGAAAGCAGAAGTACCAATGAGCAAACTTGTTGCAGAAAATGTATCTGAAAGGAGGAGAAAAAGGAATCATGTGGCTCCCTGTATCTGTACATTTTTTTCATCAAACTTCTTCATTTCACATTTCATATTTCATTTTGTTTTCCTTTATAGTAAAGGTCAAAGCTTTCTCTTGCTGTTAGTGACCTTTAGGGTAATGGTATTTCTGCAATAACTGTGTTCATATATAACTGTATAATAAAGTATTTATAATCATTAAATAACTGTAATAATTCTGTAAAACATTATCCTGTTCATAAAAATGTCAATGACTAGAAATTTTACATGCTATTTTTTTCTCACGTGTTCTATCTATCTACATCTTTCCTTTTCCTAAACACTAACAGCTAAAGATGTTATTAGATTTTCTCAAGAATCCCTCTCGAGTTCTGAGCGGAAATAAGACTGACATGTGACCTCATGTGTTAGCACCTTCTCACATGGGATTTCATTATCATCTAGGACATCAGTCTCTTAATGTGTTATAATTTTAATTTTGATAGTGAACAGTAAGATATGCATGGTAAACTGTGGGAGAATAATGCTAAAGTAGGTGGATTATACTTCAACCAAGCATCAGCTGTGTACCATTGTTTAAAGATCATTACATAAAATATGAAAATAGATTCATAGAATAGTTCTGGTTGGAAGAGACCTTCAAGATCATCAGGTCCAGTCATTAACTCAGCACTGGCAGGTCCCTCAGCACCACATCTACACATCTTTTAAATACCTCCAGAGATGCTGACTCCACTGCTTCCCTGAACAGCCTGTTCCAGTGCTTGTCAACACTTTTTGTGATGAGATCTTCCTAATATCCAACCTAAATTTCCCCTAATGCAACCTGAGGACATTTCCTCTTGTCCTATTGCTTGCTCCCTGGGAGAACAGACTAACCCCCACGTCACTACAACCTCCTTTCAGGTAGTTGTAGAGAGTAATGTCTCTCCTGAGCCTCCTTTTCTCCTGTTGACCCTATGACCACTTCGCTACCAGCATTTAATTTGCATCAGTAAATGAGATACAGGTGAAGTGGTAGAATTGAAAATGGTTATTTAAATAAAATGCTAACAATATTTACATAAAGTCTTTAAGTATCTATACAATTCTAATCATTTATACAGAGGAAGGGCACCACATTGCCCAAAATGAGGTTAGATCACTTATCACCCGTAAGTACAATTTGCTGCAAGTCTCTTTATGTTATTGTCCTCCAAATGTGATGTTGTATAAGGATAGGAAGGAGAAACTCCTCAAAAATGCAAGGGCTTATACATCACAGCCACATGGTATCATTGTAGTAGAGGGAGGATGGGCCAAGTGTGATATGAATAGCTGGTCTTCTGCAGCAGCTAATTAGGAAAATGACTACAGGCTATCTTGAAAAAAGATTTTCTGTAGCTGTAATTTATAATGAGGTTATAAGGAAGACATTCTCTTCCTTTCCTCCCTTGCAGTCCTAGTCACAACCTTCATTGGAGCAAAATGCCTGTATTTTTATTATTAAAGGTTGAGCTCTTGCTCCTCCACTAGGCAGTAGTGTGCACACCTAATGAAACTGCAGTTATGAACCTGCATTTAAGTTTTGTAGATATATATACACTAATAAAAGAAAAGCAGAGTTTGAGATGAGAGCTGATGGCTTGAACCTATCGCTTTCCTTCTCAAACTACAGCCAGGAAGAGAGTGAGGGAATGAGTCCTTACAAGTATTCTCCCCAGAGAGACAGCAGAGGGTGTGAGTAAGTATAATCTCCAAAAGAAATCCAGCTACTGCTGTTTCATTAGCCCAGCCCACCACCACAGGGAGGCCAGGTGGACAGCAGAGCAAGGCTGAGAAGGGCTTTCAGAGCAGATGGATTACTGTTGACCACCACCTATGAAAAAGCCACATTTTTCAACAGAAGCACCTATCACCAAAAGAGAATGACTCCAACTCTTTTCTTGCACTTTCTATAGCTTTTTTACCCCCAGTGTTTGAAAAATTTCATAACTGAAAATCCAAAATCTGGGAGCTCCTGGCCAAGTGCTTTTCATAATTTCCAGTGTGGAAATCTTTGAATCTGCCACCTTATGGCTTTAGTATTAGATAGTAAACAAAATTCTAGGGGTAGAGAAAACAGTGTTTGGTATTTGAAGTTGTCCCTCAGTGGTTCTTAGTAAAGTTGACAGTACCAAATGCACATTCAGGTTAACATACTCAGAGAGGACAGGCTTCTAAATTTTTCCAGCTGTTTCTGTAATTTCAGTTGGAGGAATCCAATATCCAAATAAAGTATAATTTCACCCCTGCTGTTTACGTTAATTTGCAAATGTAACACTAGCCATCCAGTTGGACAGCCAACCTACCTCAGCAGCACAGGCCTCAGCACTGCTTGAGCATATCTCTTTCTGTCCACAGAATACACCTGCTATGTATTGACACATACTCTTTCAGAAGGTAGCATGGATTATTTGTGTCCTCTCCAGGCTAACAAAATACTAAAATCACTACAACTTTAAGGACAAAAAAAGTCAAATCTGTCACTATTAAATCCTGTAACTACCAGCACGATATTTTGAATTATCTTGGTTTCTCTTTATGATTTATCTTTATGTAGGTATATGAATTCCAGTGTTTATCCTAGTGTTTTTTCAAAGACACTTCAGTTCCCTCCAAAAATCCACTTTCTAAGGATGAATTTTTTACAGAATCAGAATGCTTTGGTTTGAAAGGGACTATTAAATGTCACCTAGTCCAACCCCTCCTGCAGTGAGCAGGGACATATTCAACTAGATCAAGTTGCTCTGAGCCCCATTCAACCTGATCTTGAATGTTCCCAGGGATTGGGATTCTATCAGCTCCCTTGGGCAACCTGCTCATGTTGTAGTACCCCCATGACAAAAAAATGTCTTGCTTGTATCTAGCCTAAATCTGCCCTCTTTTATAAAAATTGAAAAAGATTTCCCCTTGCCCTGTCACAACAAGCTCTGCTAAAAAGATTGTCCACCTCTTTCCTGTAGGCCCCTTTTAAGTAGTGGAAGGCTGCAGTAAGGTCGACCTGGAGTCTTCCCTTCTCCAGGCTGCACAACCCCAATTCCCTCAGCATTTCTTCACAAGACAGGTGTTCCAGCCCTCTGGTGATTTTTGTGGCCCCACTCCAATAGGTCCACAACCTTCTTGTGCTGGGGGCTCCAAAGCTGGATACAGTACTCCAGGTGGTTGCTTTCTGGCACACTGAAGTGGAGAGCCAGCACACACAGCACTTCTTTTACCACCTTCCTCGAGGAACAAAGCTTACCAAGTTGCACCGCAACAGCTCCTTGATAGACGAGTTTATTGAAAGAACTTTTAAAAGCAGGTATTTCTGAATGTACTCCATTAATACCAACAGCTCAGAAAAACAATTTTTCAGTGTCCAAATGAAGTGTGCATATTACAAACTGTAGATTTTGAATATACTCATTTATACCACATGACATGAGCATAAAATACAATTTGTTAACCAGTATGCCGACTTATTGCTGGTTTCCAAAAAAAGTAGGGCACATCTAGAAAGAACTCTTAATCCAAAGATATTACAGTTGTTCCATGCCTTGGATGACAAGGTCAAGGTCATGAGTGGTCTGATATAAATTGCCACATTTTTCAAGTGTTTTCTTTTTAATTTGCATTTAAATTAAATGCTTTTTTTTCCAAGACTATTCTTAAATGCTATTGCATGGGAGGTGTAACATTTGAGTATTTACTACAATATAAATACTTCAAATCATGAAATAAAAACAAAAGTTCTTCACCCTCATTTTACTGACATCTTCAACCATACCAATCAGAAGAAACAAGTTCCATGTATGAAGTTATAAAAAAAAGAATAAGATGCAAACAGTGAATTGGACCAACTTGCACATGAACAAGGGTCCAGAGTTCCTGGGTAAATCATTACCCCTATAGAAATGAAGTGTTTGGGGAAGTGCTGTCATGTATACTTGCACAATAATCACAAGTTCTCATTGTATACCTGTATCTAAAACAAAATAATAAAATATTAAGTACTGATTTGGATTTTCCTTTCTGTTTTGTTTCTATGAACAGTCTTAGGAATTCCATGTTCTGAATGCAAATATTTTTTTAGCTATTCCAATCTGAGTGCAGCACAGCTGCTTTTTAAAGGTCAGGTTCCATTTGAAAGTGCCTCTACGGTAGCTAAAATGATTTTCATACATTTGAATGTTTTGCCAGCCCTTTTGACCAATAATATGATCATTTTTTTGTCAAAATAAGTATTTTTTTGCAAATGAAAAGCTTATTCCAACAGTACAAGATCTCTATATCCAGTGTGAAAGCAACATGGTGGTATAAATATATGCATACATTGTATTACACAATATACTATACACATTCCAGTTAACCATGGAACAATTAACAAGATGAGATCACTACTAATCATGGGTACAAAGTATTTTTGTAAAGAAGATTTTGAGAAACTTTAAGGAAAATTTGATTTCTGGAAAGATGACAATCTTGGGATTCCATTTTTGTTTTCAAAGAAGTAATTTTTTTTATTTATATTTAAGGATGCTGTATGTAAGAATGCACTTTGTATTAAAACAAAGATCAATACTTTACAGTTTAAGAAACTTTACATATGTACATAAATTACACATCAGGAATGGTTTTAAAGCTCAAAATGAGTTTTCAGAAAAGTCTATTTTACTTCTATTAAAATCTTTAACTCCTTTACATTGTGATCATTTGCAACTGTCACAGCATGATCCAGTGCTCGGATGCTTGCTAGGAGCTTTATGATCTGCTTTATGTGCTCCCTAAAAGAGGAAGGAGATGTCAATACAGGGATGTAGCAACAATGCACAAGTTATTAATATTTCAAAGGCTACATTATGAATCCATATAACAAAAGTTTCAGGTAACTTCACATCATCTTTTTCTCCACTTGCTTAGCGTGACAGAATCAGTTGGCTATCAGCTTTGTACTGAAATGGAAAAATTTATTTTGGGAGTAGGAATTAATCATAAAATGTTGTTTAATACTACATGTGGCATAATCTCAAGAAAAAGTCTTGGATTATTTCTGGTATTGTGCAATGAGTCACAGCTCTCTTGGCAACTAATGTTTAACCCAAAAAAGAAAAAAGGCACCAAGTACGCTTTAATGTATGCCTTAAAAAGCTACGACGCTTGCCACCAATGAGCTGCATTACCATTTGAGTCAATCTAGGAAGCTTAGACTGAACAAACTGCTAAGAGAAGTTAAAAATTAATCTTAAAAATTAACCTAGCTGATCTGTGAAACACCATCCAACTTTTGGAAAACTAGCACAGACATGAGATACATCAAATTTCTGCTGAGAGGGAAGTGTATTTTTGTTTCAAACAACTGTACTAGTTCAGTTATAAAAAGTAATATTTCTCCTGCAGATTTATTTTGTCTGCTTAATGGGGGCAACAGCAACATATTTGTTAATGTTGGGAAAAAGTGGGAGACAGAAGATAGAAATTAAATTAGAACTTACCAAGGGGAAAAAAAAAAAAAAAAAAAAGGATGAATTCAGTGTTTCTCTTGTTTTACCAAAGTTATCATTTCAGCTAGTAAAGCAAGTTCTTTCAAGTTTAGAAACAGGTTACTGAGAAAGTTTAATTCCTACTAGGTTCTCTCTCCACTCCTTCATTTCAATTCCAGCATCATGCTAGGCTAGGCATTTTTGGTTTAGAAAAGGTGGAGTAACAAGTCTATTTTGAATTTGAATCACGACGAAACTTTAGTTGGCATGTGATGCTACTATTATACTTTGGACAGAATGTTCTGAGGCATAACCCGGAAGCAGATAAAAAAAAAATTGTTTGAACACAACCCAGTGTGTCACAAAGCTTGGTGTTTTCTGGAAAGTTGAGGATTCATATAGCGCAGCCAAAAGTGACTCTAAAGATAGAAAAGTGTCTAATAACTGACATGGTAACTGGAAAAAAGTTGACATAGAAAAAGTCAACTCTGAAACAAGATTTTTCTGCTCTGGTTTAAGTGAAATTTCTGTCTGTCTTTCAGTGCTGTATGATAAAAAAGGCAGAAGGCTCTAACCCCCTGAGAGCCTCAATAATTGAAGAGTAACAATGGCTCGAGCAAGTTCAGCTATCAAGACTGACTAATGCAGGTAGCAAGGGGGTTCATCTTTCCGAGTTTCAGGTTTGCTGGAACAACAGAACTATTGACCTCGAAACCTCTCCTTCTCATGCAACAGCACAGGAATGAACAATCTTCCAGTCTTGTTATATTCCTGCCTATCAGTGCAACTATATTTTAAGCTTACCATTGCTTAAAACAATACACCCATAGCATTTCAGGCTACTTGGCCATTTGTAATATTTATGCATCTAAATACAAGCTTTTAATTATGCTACTTATCAGATAGAGGTAAAATGACTCTTCTGTCTCAGGGGAAATTGGTTCATAGAGTTGGTTGTGTAAAGTCAGAACTTCTGTACCCTGCGCAAAAGCACAGTTTGTACTTTAGAAGCCGTTATGCAGCAATTGGCAACAGGCTCACAAGCTGAAACAATCCAAACCCAGCAACTACAAAATTAGCCACTGCCAGTGACACTAAGCAGTAGTGCAAAATATATTATGAACATTTAAAGACTTCCAGCTACTGCTGTTTTCAAACACCTGAAAAATCTCCCCACCTAACATAGCGTAACATTTCAAAAATTTGAAATGAAGGAAGCTTCAAAAGATGAGTAACCCTGTCCATGCTGCTGCCTATGTTTGTATGCAGGAAGCACAAAGAAATAACAGAAAGCACAAAGATTGCAACTGTGTTCACTCAAAATAAGATACCTGGCGTTTCTTTTCTCTACATCAGAGCAACCAATGCTGTTTCTATAAATTGTATCGGCCAGATGGACAAGGTATCTACAGAAGTTTTCTAGCTGAGAAATCGTCTTGTCTCCTTTTAGATTAGTGAACCACTGTTTAGGAAAGCAAGCAATTACCTAGACATAACAGGAAAAAAAAAGTTAAACTCAATGCAACAAAATTTTAAAAGCTATCTAGCATCATTTGCCAGGTAACAGCTAACATCATTTCTCTGCTAGGTAAGATTGCAGTGACAAGGCTCAACTGAATGAAGCTGTGAGAAACCAACCAAAGAAATGTAATAAATCCAAAATTCAAGCAGTAAAACACTGAAATCTATACTAATACTTAAACTATCTACAAGTACAAGACAGATAAGGATCTTTCTTTAATTTAGATATTTTTTAAAAAATACACATTTTTTACTGTCATTACAACTTCTAGATATCAAAGCCAAGATTTCATAGGTAACCAAGTATTTAACTACATTTTTCCTTCAGCTGAAATTTGTGAATTACAATCCATTGTAAACATTGCTTGAGTTTACTTACACTTTGAGCTTTCTTAATGCTGTCCTCTCCATACTCGGAATTTTGAAAAGCCATAAGAATGTATCTATTTAGCAGACCATCTATTGACAGTTCCTGGAGAGTTTTGTTTGAGAGGATTCCATACCATTGGAGAAAGTTTCCTAATAACTGAAAATACAACACAGGGAAAATTATGTATTTTAAAGTGTACTGAAACCAGGAAGTTGATCAAACACTCTAAAGCCTCTCCAAATGCAACAGCACGGCCAAGATAAGCACTGGAAATATGCCTTCTGTTAGCTTCAAACCTATTCAGTATTCATAATGTACTAGGACAGAACGTTATGGATTCTCATACAACCACCACCACCACCTCAACTTTACTCATGTTCTGCATAAGAAATCAGAAAAATATAAGTCTTAAGCCCTCTTGCTGTCAGCGTGCCCTTATTTCCACAGCACAGGGAATCCTGAGACCAAGGGTACAGCTGCTACTCCCCACCGGCGTATGGCTGCGGAGAGCGGCTGCCAGCCTTGCACAAGTGCACGCAGCCAGCAGTTCTGCTGTTGATGCAGAGCATCAGGAAACACTGAATGAGCACTTGCCTCCCAGCTTCTATTTCTGCTCGTCTGTGATGCTATAGCTGACTCGCTTGCACAAGAGAGATGTATTTTTAATGCTTCCCTAAAATAAAACAGTGGTAATGGCACGCACGCTTCTAAACACCCAGGCCCTGAGATGTTACCAGAAGGAGGTAATTTCGCTCTCAAAAAAGACACAAGCCCTAAATAACTAATCTGTTTCACTTTTAACCACAGCATTTTAATACATCAGCTTTGAAATAAAAGTAAATTTCTTACATGCTGTCTAGAGGGAAAAATACACAAAGTGGAAGAACTCAGCGTCAAATACTTTAAGCTAATGAAGTGATTGCAAACCTATTCAAGAACAGAGCCTCCCTCTCTGCTGCAGTTTAAATAGACAATTCCAGATAAGAGTTCTGATTGCATGATCATGGAGATCAGCAGCTCAACCAACACAGGTCTCATATTTTACTTCTCTGTTTAGTTGGGAGTTAAATTTTCTTCACAGCCTTTTATTGGAAATAAACTACACCAGTCATAGCTTCTTACAGACCTTTGCTAACTATATTACACATTCCACACACAGACTTTTCCTTTCGCACTCTTTACAATTTCAATTAAACTAAGATTAAACTGCTCTTACACTTTGCAAATAGCAGCGAGCTTCCAATAGCAGTTGGAACCTCACGGAGATTCTCACACCAATTATATAAATTTCTAATATATAAAAAATTACAAACCAAGCGCTCTCTCATTCTCATGTAAGTGAAATAAAAGCAATGTATTTTATTCTGACAAGCACAATGACTATAAGAAAATGGAGTTGATTATGCTAAGTAAACACACATAGTGTTTCAACTTGGCAATCTTTTCAAGAGGGCACAGCGCATTGTCAAAGACCAAGAATCCTAACAGAGTTCTTTTAAATTAAGTTAAAGCACTTTTCATCTATGGTTTTCCAAGAATTTGAAGAGGATTTTATTGCTACACTGTCTAGACCAGAGATTTACTGATGTATTTACTGACTTACCTTAACAGAGGACCAAAACTGACGTTGGAAAAACAAATATGGACCAGAGTTCTTGTTTTCTAAGATGCTGGAAAGTAAGAGATTTCTTTAATGAGCAACCAAGACCACCTCTGTCTGGAGTTTGCTGGCTTCCTCCTTCCCACACACAGTTAATTTCTACAAATATTCCCTTCCATCCTGCTTGTCTTTGCTAAATCCTCACAGCATAACAACGAAAGATCTCCTGTATCCAGGCACGGAACCATACTGGGGAAAAAAACCCTGTTAACTGTGGACAGAATACACCAACTTGCCAATAAAGGTCTAACACCACAGTTGAAAGCAAACTTACTTTTTTGGATATAAGGGCATGAATACATCATCATCTAGTGTTCTCCTCATTCTTAGCAACAATGCCTTTAAAAGCATCTGAAACAGATAATTATTTTTTTTAAGAAGTGTCCAAAGCACTGCTTAGCAGTTAACCAGTCTGAAACTGATTTTCAAAACAAAGAACATTTGTAACCCTAACATTGAAAGGCATACACACTTAAGCACACAAAAAGTCTCAGAGAAGCCTAAAATCATTAGCAGAGCTGAAATTTGATGCTTTCAATAAAACTCAAAGGCAATGGAATTACTTTATGGTTAAGTCTGGCTACACAATTAGTTTCTGTGAAGTCAGGGCTTACGTAATTTTTAATCTTCTGCTAACTTGCCCATACATGGGCACTTAGGCCCATCTCCCATTATTCTAAAAGCAAATAATACATTGCATTAGTTACAGCACCCAAACTCCTGACACTAGTTCTTGTATTCACAGGATATAAGTAAAACAATCAAACTTCAAAAATTTAAAAAGTCAAATAACATTTCAAAAGGTCACAAAGCTCTAAAAAAAGAGAAGCCTGACTATTTGTGGCTGACCCTGAAAGGAAAAGGGCAGACCAACAAGTCTTAGTATATTTGGTATCTCCTCATCTCTACCATCTATTTTGAGGAGACTTCATGAAGTTCCTCCTGCTAATTTATCACCATACTTGACACTGTACTTAGACTGCAGAGCATCGAGCAATTTCAAAATTCTCCTTCTTCCTCACTAAGCATCTTGTCTTCTTCAATGCAGCATATGAAAATATATTCAAGTTCCTTAACTTAAAGATATTGAAGAAAAAACAACTTACCTGTGTATTTTTGTTTTCTGCATTCACCACTGTGGGATATCCATCCACTAGTTTCTGCACAAGTGCTACCATTCGAGATGTTTGTGTTGTAGAAAAAGGATCCCATATATTTTCAGAAATCACTGTGAGAAAGAATTACTCTGTTTTGCAAATACTGAAATACATGTACTAAGGCAGGCAATACTTTACAGAACAGTGAAATCTGAAAGCACAGACAAGCATCAGCTTCCACAGACACCCCTTTTCCCTCCCTTTCCTTTCCAAAACTGTACCTGTTAATTTAGGAAGAACAACTCTCTCTACAATGGTAGGCAATAGTGAAATATCAGCATCATCTTTCACTTGCTCCTGTTCTTCACAGCCATAAAACAGTAATGATTCAAACCACAACATAGTCTCAAAATCTCGACACTTGCCCTAACAAAAAAAAAAAAAGATTTAAAAGTTAGATTACTAAACAGATTTGAAGTCGAGACATTAAAAAAAAAAAAAAAAAAGTAAAAATACAGTATTACATATGCAAGTATGATACACTCACAACACATAACAAAATTACTTTAAAAGAGTTTATCAAGTGTGCTAAGCAGGCTGGGTAAGCAGCAAATGAACACAATAATAACATGAAAATCTAGTCCTTTCTGCCAACATGTCAGGTGCCTATCTGCACAGAAAATAATATTTTTTAAAAAAAGAGATACAGTGCCTCAAGACCAAATAGTCTCTTAATCTGACACAAGGATGGGCAAATTACTTCACCTGCTTTGGCTCCAATACTTCTGAAGCAGTGACACTGCTTCCTTCAGAAACACAGGCATGTCTGATACCTGAGAAGTGAAGAAAATGTTCTGCTCCTTTGCCTGGACACTACTAATGTTGCCATCAATAGGTCACGTTAGTGTATATGGACAACCCAACCCAACCAAAACCTGAGCGCGGATGGGGAGCAAGGTCAATTTTCCATAAACCAGCTAAATCAATCAACTCACTCTACAATCACACAATCCCTAGGATCTAAAAAAAAGTGAAAATGGTGGAAGTGAGACTGCCTTTTTTTTTTTTTTTGGAAGCCATGGCCCTACAGATTTTAACTTTTAATTGCACATGAGTCAAATAAAAGCCCACTGATTAGGGTAAAAGTAAGAACTATAGTTCATTTGTGCTGCATTATAAAATTATGCTTTCTGGATTGAAAACCTCGTTTTATGAACGCCTTGTAATTTTTCTAACTTAAATACTTAACAGGCTAGTAACATGGAGGAACAAAAATTATTAGATTTGAGAATTCTGTAAAATGTCTCCAACTAACATGAGCTTTTTTTTTTCTGCCAGCCTGAGAACTCACACAGAAATAGCACATGGGAAAAGGAGAATGTACAAAAACAGTTTTAAATTTAGTAAGGACACTTTTCATAGATTTTCCCCTCATTTATTAAAGTTAAAGACTCTGAATGCTCCCTGAAGAAGACTAGCTTCCCTTCCCCTGCAATCAGAGTGGTGGTGACAGAATATCCCCTTCTACAAGTATTCTCTTCATAGTTCAGAAAAAACACACTTGTGAAAACAGGAGAGATTCAACCATTTGTGAGATAGGCTGACACATCTGCAGACGGTGCTGTAGATGAGTTAAGTTGTGAAATGGAAGAAGACAATCTGCCTTATTAGCCTATCTTCCTAAAAAGAAAGAACCCAAGCTTATGCAACTGCACTTGTGCCTTGATCCGTTCCCATTCCCCAATAAAAACCAACATGGCAGAAAAAAAAAGTTCCTACCACTACTGTGAAAGTAAGTACCTGCCTGCAGAAGAAATAAGTTTCAAGAGCTATCACTGGTAGTAATTAGAGAGTAAAGGTTAAAAAGTTCCCTGAACTGTTTGTCCTGACAGCTACTCATGTCAGCAGACACGCAGGCCAGACGATGAACCAGTGATACTGGGCAGCAACAATGTTGCCCTCCTCTTCCCATGTTCCCTACCTAATACCTGGGCAATGGGCACTATGACGAATACTTGGAAATTGCCAGCTAGAGTTCTACAGGGTATGAAAGTGTGGGTGAGAGGGAGAAAAAAAAAAAAAAAAAAAGTATAAGGTAGAGACATAGAGACATAGTTTTAAGTCAACAGAAAAGCAGGCTTCTTGGTTCCACACTTCTGAAGAAACAACACCTCTAGAATCACAATTTTATCTTAAGTATTTTAAAACCTAAATGTATTATTTAAGAAGCTGTTTGGCTTTTTGGTCTGTATCACTGAGAAGGTACTGGCATGTGCTGAATTGAACTCTGGCCTGCTGGGAATCCAAAAGACAACAGTTCAGAAACGTCCCAGAAAACTTCACCCTAAGAGATGTGCCCATTTTAAACTTCATGTCTAGAACATGCACTTAGAAGGAGCACACAGCAAACATGCAACTTACTTTGCTCTGCACAAGTATGAAAGAACCGCTATTCAGAAGCTTACAAAGAAGTTGCTTGCAGAGGACCTTACCTCTAAAGGAGTCCAGATAAGCAGCTGAAGTCTGATTAAAGGGTTAAACAGCTTGGGTAAACAGAGGCCAATATAAGCATCCTTATAAGAAGCAAAGTACTTTGAGCGCCAAGCTTCAAACTGTGACTTAATACAATCAATTGAGTAAAAGCTTTCCAAAACATCTTCGAAAACTTTGCTGGATTCTTTCAATATACGATCTGGTGAGGGAGAAAAAGAGCAGTAAGTTATTCACCTATTCCCTGTAATACCTCCTTCAAGGCAGACTTTGAAGCTTGCTGGCAAAAGCTAACTCCTATAAATAGAACCAAAAAACCACTACCTTCAAAGGTTCTGTCACTTCTGCCTCAAATATACAAAGCAATAAGGACATGAGTACTCTCTGACATATTGTTTTATCACAGGTCTTGTTTTAAGCATTTCATACAATGATTTTCAGCTACCAGACACTGGACTGGTATCAGGCTGTACTCAGTGTGGATCTTTACTTCAAAGCTGGAGTTGCTCTGCATTAGAGTCCGGAACAGATGATCTCCATTCCAACCCAAATTATTTCAATCCAAATTATTCTACAACTTTGCTCATCCAAGTGCAAGTACAGGAGAACATCTCATAAGCCAACAGAATTAGCACTTTGGACAGAGTGGGTCCTGGCAGACACCATGCTAAACTGTCGTATGCAACGTGGCTGTTAGCACTGGGCAACCATTACAATCCCATAGCACCTTCCTTAGACCTCCTTTTTTTTTGTCTTCACAGTACCAGTATTCTGTGCAGTCCAAACCATTTTCTCTATACATTGTTTTCCCTTCATCTGTTCTAATTCCCAGGGTTAGTTTCATTTTAACCAGTCATTTTTGCTGCAGCCAGAGTTTTAAAAGTTTGGTTACAGCAGTAACCTGTGCACAACCAGCATAACTACTGCACACAGCATGTAGAGACAGTGCTGAGGGAACATAAGATTACATCATAGAAACACTTTCCACACTGGGATCATGAAGAGATGCTATAAATAAAGTGAGCAGGTCCAAAGTGCATCCCTCTGTTCCATGTAACTCAGAGCTGATTCTGGACTTAAATGAGAGCTACAAATGATAAAAAAAAAAAAAAAAAAAAAAAAAAAAAAAAAAAAAAAAAAAAAAAAAAAAAAAAAAAAAAAAAAAAAAAAAAAAAAAAAAAAAAAAAAAAAAAAAAAAAAAAAAAAAAAAAAAAAAAAAAAAAGGTGCTTTAGGTATACTATGCTTACTCAAATAGCAATTAGGCCATACTGATCCACTAATCTAGAACATTTCATTTACCAAAGTTAATCGTAGCACCTAACAACCCTCAACAGTTGCTCTGTTTAACAGAGAATTCTCCCTGCATCCACAGTTTTAGTAAGTCAACCAGCAACTAAAGGTGTGGAAAGTGCATTTTCTGAATTATCCAACTGCTTTTTTAAATATGTTCTTACTTCAGGCCTCCACAAGCACTTAGAGCAAAGACTCCAGCATTTTTATTACACTCTCTGTGGGAGGTGACTTGTTTACTTTAAATCTATTCTATCCCTTCATTTCATGACCCCTACCTCTCATACTGTGATGTTTTACTTTCTTGGCTACTGGTTTCACAGTAACCACTGTAATTGTTTGCCTTTTAACTGCTGCTGTAATAGATGACCATTCCAACAAACTATCCACACTTCCCTTAAATCTCAGGTCTCTTGCAGTTCTCCCATTGCTTACAAGCCATTAGCTTAACTTGCAACCTCATTTACTGTGTAATTAGGGTTATGCATAATTGCCTAATAATGGTTACTTTGACCAAGCTATCATAAAACTGCAGGTGGATTTCAAATCAAGTCAGTACGAGGGCTTTCTGCAATGTTTGCGCTGAACATTCCTTTCTGTCATCTGCAAGATTTGCCAGGCTGTAACAAGAGCCTACAAAACTTTTGTCATTGCATTTCTAGATGCTTTCACAAAACTCCAAGAAATACTTCATATCAAACAAAAAAATGGTCCAGAATTTCATAAGCAAAACAAACAGATATTGGAAGAATGATAAACTACATCACAAATTAGAAAGAATACTTAGCATTTCACTGAAGGTACAAACCCTTGATGCTTGCCAGCAAAAGAATGTTTAAATTAATAAAAAGAACCTCACTAAGAACGGCGTATTTAGTTATCGGCAAGCTTCACAACAGGTTGTTGAAAGAGACTGGTTTGGTCACTTTGATGATCCAGCAAGGAACAGTTCCTAAAGTTTCTCCAGAATATGGTGAAATATACACAGAGGGCTGTATTTTGATGGATTTGCCATTTTTTCCCCTGCCTAATTTTCTGTATTTTGTTACATGAAGCTTCAGTAGCTTTCTAACCTCGCTCCATGTTGAAGTTGGTAATATCCGTTGAAGTCTCCTCATCGTCGCTGGAAAGGCCTTCCAGATGATCTGCCATCTTCCCAGTTTGCTCTCTTGCTTGTCTACGGCGAGCTCTGGAGAGGATCGACAGCGTAAACCAGCTATTACTGTTTTCTCTCCGCTAGACAATGAACAGACCCATCTAAGCTTGCTGTAATTTTTAATGGAAGGAAATCCATGTTGAAAAAAACTTTCACTATGTTACCACCTCAAATATTCTACTATGTTGCTGCCTCAAAAAAGCAAAGGAAGATACATCAGCAGAAACAACACAGACATGAAATGAGTTTACTGTTCTTCCTTTTAGTGATTTCAAATCAGTATCATGCAATGGTGACTTGTTCTGTACACCTGCATGGTAAGTTAGGACATAAGAATACCCCCAGCCAGCATACCGATGTAAGTGTTTTCTTCCCTTTGCAGGAAGGAAGCAAACACTGCTACTTACGTTGGTATGTCACACAGGACAATTATATTCTGCAAGCAGGCAAAGATTTAATGGACAACAAATTCCAGTACTTTACCTTCTAGCCTCTCTTTCTGCAGTCCGACGCTTTACTTGCTCTTGATAGATCGCTCTGTCTCGGCCAAAAGATTCAAGATTTGGTGCCATCAGTGCTTTATCTGTAAAATTACATTGACAAAAATTAAAATGCTTATCTACAATTACATACACATGTTGTAGGCAGTTTCATAAGAGGCTTTTACTGACTTTCAACTAAGTGTAATTGGAAACAGAAAGTCAAAGTTTTCAAAAGATGCACCCAGAAGCCTGAATTCGCAAGTGGAGAGGTTAAAAGAGGAAGCAGTGGAGTGCAGAAAAATCTTCACTTAAATATCAAATAGTTTTCACCATACTTCACTCTTGTACTTCTGATACCCCTGTCCAATTGTATAAAAGTCAAGAGTTTTAACAGAAATTGCTTAAATTGAATGTTCCAAGACAAAGTGTTCCTTAAACACGTTCACCACGTATCTTTTCAAAAGAAAATGAACAAAAAGAAAGGCAGAGAAGAGTCGCCAGAGCAGGAATATATGATATTTCAGAGTTCCAGTCACAGTATTTTCTAAGTTTATATGTTTTAGATTGCCTAAAGTTTATATGCTTTAGATTGCCTAAAGTTTAAAATGCGTCAGAATCTACATGAAAAGAAATTGTCTTCCCTCCTCTTTTAGCTGTGATTCATTATAAGTGTTCCTAATTATAGAAAACAACACAGCTAACCAGTGAAGCTGCTCAGCAACCTGCAAGCAGACCCCAAAGTCTTTCCAGTTCATCTTTTTCAGGTAAATTTTAAAAAATTGATTGATTGTTAGGCAGTGCTCAAGTCCATCCACTAAAATATAAAGATCAAAATCTCAACAAAAGCCTACCCAAATTTCAGGAGTAAATGTACATGTTCTAATTAAATCTATTTGCAAATCCATCATTAAAAATATTAATGATTATCTATGTCCATATCTCAATTCTATACGAGAACTACTAAAAGCCTTAACATACAGATGAAGCCGTCATTTGTCCAATTTTTTTAAGTAGGATTTGAAGCCGAGCTACTTGTCTTCACGCCGACGTAAAACAAAAGTTGGCAGACAAAGTCAAATTCACTTCTAACTCTTTAGTGTTCTGACACTGTATGAAGAAAAGCAAATTGTCTATGTCTGCAACCCATCTAATCAAAAGCTGGCACGAATTCCTGGTTTCTGTGATAATTTGAGGAATGGAATTAACTATTTCTAGATACCATGAAATTCCTTCTCAAGACGCCCAGATACTAAGAAAGATCTCTCTTCAAAATCCAGCCTTGACAATGGATTCCCATCCCACCATTGAATCCCAGTCCAAATTAATCCATTCTAAGCATCTTTTAGGAAATACATTTCTAGTACATTAGGTTTCTGGTTCTCACTATGGTATTTTCATGATAAAACTGCAAGACCTGCATGTGATGCTGGGGCTCCAAATAAAGTCCCTAAAGGGAATATATACACTAGCCACTCTGAAAAGGGATGACCAACTCTGACACCCTAACACTTTATCACCCTCAATAAGTTGTATCTAATGGTATTAACGAAATTTGACCTCTGGACACACCATGACAGAATAGGAAATGACTTTTAACTATAGGGTTTTAGGTCAGCAACAGGACAGAGGAGAAAGCCATTTTTAAAAATGGGAAGCTCTGCAAAGCAAAAAGATTACTATTTTTAGTAATGCTATTTGTTCAACATGCTGAATAAAACCTCCTCCAATGAACCCACTTTTTCATCCAACATTTATACTTTTGTAGAGTTTTACATACTGAAAAGTAATCACCAGAAGAAAACTTCTCAGTGAGGATTCCCCATCCACACAGTCACAGTAAGAATGTATTTTAACCGGCCAATTTTAAGATTAATTTCATAAAGGGCCATTTTGTATTAGTCTGGTTTCTAACAATGGCACAAGCGGCTTCCAGTTTTTAGCTTTACCAGTTAAGTGTCTGAAATGAAATAGTTACGTTGTCTACAAAATAGAGGATTAGACAGAAGCCAATTCTAGCCCAGGGCTCCATGGCTTTGTACAGAGTTAATTCTACACGTTACAAGAAATTTATAGATTCAAGGTTAAAAAAAAAAAATTATGACACAAGAGGAAAATCAGGATTCACATGCTACCACTACCACCACTGTTATCATGCACACATTTTCAGTGCTAGGAAAGAGAAAATATAGTTAGGAGCAACAGAAAGTAGAGATGAAGTCAGAGTTAGAGTGGCTTTGATTTTAAATCAAAATGAATTAGAGAACTTTTATCTAAACTTCCTTCTACCTATCTCAAGAGTAACGAAAAACTTTAAAACAGTCATAATTCATACATTTACATTCAAAATTAAGCCATACTAAGTAAACAAGGTTGTTTAATGAATAATAAAAACCTTCAAGATGGACTGACTTGAATGGCTTGAAAACTCCGAAGATTCATCTTTAATATCATCTTGTCGTCTTTGGACAAGGCGGGAAGCTCGCTGTTTGTACAGCTGGTGCATTGCAGACTCAAGCTCATTAATCAGGGGCACCTGTAAAAATACAACACACTACGTAACATCAAATCCTCTAGGTGCTTAGTTTCTGGGGTGCCATACTATTCCGAAGCATAACGCCTTCACTGTACTTCTAGCAGCAAACTGTTCCTTTTTTACCCGTTTGTATCATTTGGGCCAGTAACTATTTCAGTGTGGAGAAAAGGCATGCATTTAGCAACGCTGGCAGCCTTCACCTGTAGCAATAGCATTCTGAAAGCAGCTTCTCTTGACTGAGGTGAGGCTACACAGTGAGACAAGCATTTTAGTGTGAAATGTTATTTCAAGTACTCATTTTCTTACCTAAAAGCATTACACACTGTGTTACAGTCCTTACAATTCTTGGACCTCACTGTTCCCTCTCTATCTTTAAACAATGTAGTACTCCTCTATACTAACAAGAAAACAACCTGACTCTAAAGAGTGAAAAAATAAAGCATGAATCCAACCTCCTGAAGCCAGTATATACTGTTTTGACATAACATTTGTTAATGTATACTGAAATATTATTACTTAAATGTAATAAAACACTACACAAGCCAACAGGTATTTCAAATCAGTAAAATGTTACTTTTGCTTATAATTAAAAATTGTGCAATTTGTGCAAGTTAAGCACAAAGTATATAATATATAAAGTATATTAGAACGATACCGGCTTAAGTCAGATCAGACCTGCCACTTTAATTTTTAGGCTTTTGTCAGTGGACTAAGTATCAGTAGCAACTATAACAAAAATAGATTATAACAGCTAGGAATTTCCTGAAATTAAATAGCAGATTCACTGTTCGCGTTTGCAAAAATTAATTTCCCGGGACAGGTTAAAATTAGATTACTATAAATATTCAAATACAAACCAGAACTCTTCACAACCTCTTAATTCAGAAAGGCAAGTCCTTTTGGTATGGACACTTAAGCTATGTCCTCCTTACCTCCAAGACATATGTTTAGTCCACAGTCCTCCAGACTTTTACCTCAAGCATTTCACTGCTGCCTATCATCCAGGATTAGATTTATTTCAAAACAAAAGATAAAATACGAAATTGTTTCCTGACGTAATTTAGAATGTGACTCAGCAGCTATTAAAGAATGTCCTCCAATAAAATATAAGATTATAGGTACACAGAGCCATTTCAGCTGAGAATGACACAAAACAGAGGAAATATTAAGCAGAAAAAAAACCACTAGCTCTTTGTGGTGCACAGTGGCTACAGGGATTGAAGCAAAAGCAACTCTGCACCAACCCAAAATACATCAACTGTTGTTTTGGAGAAAACAGAGTAGAGAGAAATAGGAGGAGGAAATATCCCAGCACTGAAAACATATATTCAGAATTTAAGATGATTTTGAAAGCAGAAATAGTAATTTAAGAAATACGAGGTTTACTGCCGTTTACCATAGAAAATACAGCTTCTTCTCTTACACATTTAAAGGGTATTCTGAAATTGAGAAGTGAAATGAAAATTTTTCACAGGAACCTTGCAGGTTCTTTCTGTAATTGTCTCAGGATTAAAAAAACCAGCTATGTATTCAGATATATGAATCCACTTTAAAGTGCAAAAGACTTAGAAGCTGTTACTCTTCTATAATCAATACTGTGGTTGATGAGTGACAGAGTTGCACTGACTACTGTAAAGTTACAGCTCTTATCCACCAAGTTCTGTTTAGTCAATAGTTTAAATTCTAACTTAAAACCTACAGTCCCACTCTGACACATGCCATGTGTTTTGATAATTTGCATTTGCAGGTAAAATAATAGTTCATCTAACTCTGTTGCCAAAGATATGCTCAGACCAATTTAAACTTTTTATATCCCTTGCAGATTCCTACACTCAAAATGTAAAGACACCATTACCTCTTTCTAGCCTTCTTGGAAGGCATAATTTTGACAACCATTACTTATGAAGGAATTCATGCAAGCATCTTACGCTCAATTAGTCTTATCATTTATAGGGCCTGAAATCCTACAGAATTTGACATTTCTATTACTTGTTTCTAAAATCTGCATAATAGCTGCCTCATTATACTCTCCAATGCATGTTACCAATGAGCAAAGCATTTCTAACATTCAGAATCTCTTCAAAATGGAATACAAACAATGGTTTTGCTTGGCTGGGGGTCATGAAGGGTTGGACATGGTGAATAGGTGCAGAAACAAGGCGGTAGGAGGAAGTCTGACTTATGATGATGTGTTGTGCTCTCTAAAACTAAGTGAACAAATATACAAGAAAACTTTAGGGGAAGGGACTCCTCTGGAGTGGGTAAGTATATTGTGAACCTGTTAGTCAGTACCAATGTGAATTTGATTAATAACCATGACTAGCCCTAATAAAAGAGGAAGCATCAAAGCATCATATTTAAGAGTACAGGAAGGGACCTAGCTTTACAAGCACTCAGTATGTGTTCAGATATGCGTATGTACACACATATACACACAGTACTGTTCTTACACATATGGACACACATATTATATGCTTTTGTATATCGTAACCATAACTAGATACGTTATATTATGAACATACACGCACTTTAAATATGAAGTAGTCAGGGCCACAGGTTCTACAAAAAAGCTGAAGGCAATTTATCTCTACACTCAAGGATAAGAATTTGTCTGGCTGCATTTCATTATTTCATATAAAGAGAAACTGACACTGATTTTATTTGTTTTACTGACCCACATCCTTCTTAGAAAAACTTGCGGTGTCCTTAAGCTACAGTTTAATTTGACAGTACTTTTATCATGCTGAAAGCACCGAATTCCAGAATTATGGATTATCCAGCCAAAGAACTGAGGAATATACAGGACACCATAATAAATGGAATACTCCTGTTAAACTGACCAAGTCACCTCTTAATTTTGCAACTCACTATACACACAGGTTCTGCAGCAGTCTCCAAATGAAAACAGCAAAACTCTCTGAATGACCCTAAGAAGCAGACGATAAAAATCACATCTTAAAAGTTCAATTGCCTGGCATGGCAGGTAGGGTATGGAGAGGAAGCTGTCCACGTGTAGAATCCTTAGAAGACCAACTACCATTAAAGCAAAGGTATATGGTACAACTTTAACATGTCTGTCTGCTACAGCTCGTTTGCTGTACAGTGGCTGGATTTATTTATTAGGATAGCTAGACAGATCAATAACCTTCCTACAGACTGAACTGAAATGGTTACACTCTCACTTAACAGCAAGTTTTCCCAGTTTATAGAAAATATGGGAGACTGAAAGGCTTGGTTTGTATACAGAACAGTGCATTATAAACCAATTTGTTTAAAGAAAATATTTGAACAAGACAGCATGGGCTATTGAAGAGAACCTCCAGACACAGCTTACAGTTGTCACAAAATAAATTTAACAAGAGGTCTTTAAAAAGCAAATGCTTAATAAAGATTCAGGTATTTAACTTGCCTTCTTAAATACAAATTTATTAGAGAAACATAAAAACTTATCCTGAGCAGGAATTTAGGCATCCAGACACTGTCTGGCACTGACAGAGCTTCCAAGGAAAGAAAGCACCTCTTACTACCCTCAAGAGCTCATGCAAATACAGATTCAGAAATACTGCTTTCTTCAGTGAACAGTATCTATTGTAACTGACCAGTCAGCTGATGAATTAACTGGTCCACACTTCCTGACTTTGTTCACAACATAGCTATTCTACAATTTACAGGATTGAAGATGGGACTCTCCCAGTACCACTAATGCTGGACAATTGATGTCTAACCATTTAGCAACCAGAATGCTTTTACATTCCTCTCCCATACCTAACAAGCTAGGAAAGCAGGAGCTTCAACTACTTGAATAATTCTGACAGCTAACACATTAAGAAGATACTGTGCTATTGTATTCAAGTCATAAGACAATAATGAAACAGCCTACGTACTGCTAATTGAATTTTACAGCTCCTGTGTGCATATACATATATTACACAGGAGCTTCTGTTATATTACAGCAAAGAAAGTAATTAAAGCATAATGAGTAATGTAAGACAGAAAGACTAAGTTTTTAAGTTAGACATATAAAAGAGTATCACACTACAAGAAAGAAGTGTATTTTTAAGTTTGGGTGTCTTCAAACCAGCTACACTATTTTTAAAACTTTTCTCCTTCAGACACTAGAGCACTACCAAGTATGTGAAATTGCCTGGCAGGAGGGAGTTTGTAAGAACACACAAAATACAAGTCTTTGTTACTGTGTTCATAAAGCATTCCAGAAACTAGAAATGTTGCAATCCAGCCCTGATTTTTGTTGATACCCAACACAAGTAAAAAGCAGCATCTGAGTAAAGTTGAAATGCCAGAATATCTACCAAAATCCTAAAGACAATCTAAAAGTGTTTCTATACAATCTAAAGTCAGTGATCTCTTGCACTGTGAAAGAGGCTTCTGATAATCAACTTAGCATGACAAGAAGTTCTTTTCAACTACTGAATAACCAAACCTTTAGAAGAACAAGTTCTCAGGGGACATTTTTCAAAAACAGAGGGAGACGTGGTGTTTGGCATGTACTAAGAGTCCCTATTTTTTTTTTTTTTTTTTTGTAAAAAGATGAATGGTTTTGCATCCTTACCTTTTCACTGAAACACTCAAGCAAGTCTTGGACATACCCTCGCATTTCTTGCAAAAACTTATACTGTTCACCAATACCCCCAGAAGACCCTTCTAATCTTTCAATTGCCTTGGTAGAGTCCTCTCGGCTTTGCTGATGTTTCTCATATTGCTGCCGATTAGCTTTGTGCAATTCTTTCATAGAGTCCAACCTGAAGGGCAACGGATAAATAGCAAATTTACATCCAAAAGTCTGTATATTTCAGAGCGTTGAGATATTAAACAGACAGAGCAAGTACCAAGCCTATATACGGGAAATACTGCAAAGATGTACTCTCTTTCATTTGTCACTTCCTCTCCTGTCTACATAAACAGCAAAGATAATGGTTTAAACTGACTTGCTAGACTATGCCGAGTGCATTGCACTGCCCACTCCCACAGATTTTCACAGGAGTTGATAGCACTTAGAATAGTGCAAGACTGGCCCTAAAGTAAAACTGTGAGGCAAGGTTTTAGGGGGTGGGGAAGAACTATAGCTTGTACATTCACTGTTCAAAGGCTGTAGCACTTCCAGGGGCATACAAACCAATTCTGAAGACATACAAAGTGCAAGCTGTTCACTACAAGTGATTTCTCACTGCAACTGGGGTTGTTCATTCAGTAGGACCTTTTGCGTACCTGACAAGCAGATTACAGTGTTTAAACAAAAAAAAAAAAAGCCTGTATACGCTAAAGTTTAAATTCTTTATCTACTTATGGGAAAAACTCTTAACTCACAGTTTAAAATAATGTAACTTGACAAGCTAAACACCTCACTGGCCTTTTAATTCTTGACTATAAGCCTGTGTAGTGTCCAGAAGATGCAACTCAGACCTGTCTTCAACAAGATCAACGGCCTCATATTTAAAGCTTCACTTCCACAGAAGCAATCCAAGAAGATTTTCGAACAAAGTGTCAATGTCATCTTCACTTTGAGCTTTATTTTTGTTTGCTTTTTTTTTTTAAATGGGTGCACCAGTCAGTACTTTTCCAGCGATGAAACTCTGTGTTTGCTCACCGAGACTAAAAGATGCCTGAGGAACCGAAAGCTAGGGGACAGGTCTAAGTCTAAAAAGACGGTCTGTCCTACCTGTCTTTAAGCTGTTTCTTTACCAAATCAATAGTAACAGGAGTCATCTCATTACTGGGAGTTTTGAAAGGAACTGTATTATCTGTTTTTTGAGACTTGGTTTCCGATGACCCATACGCCGCGTAAGTGTACGGAATGCCATATGATGAGCCGTAAGACAGCGTCTGGTAAGTGTTCTGGTAGTACAGATTATTCACTTCAGCGGGCTGACTTGGTTGAACCTGATCGAAGAGGAAATGCAATTGTACTACATTAGACTTCAAAGAAAGAAGCTTATTTTCTTTCATATCTAAATGTTATAAAGTAAAAAAACGTAGGCAGGTACATTTATAAAATGTAATCATCAGGTGGATTTAAGTGTAGAACTTTCAACACCTAAGTTGGGAGAAAAATTCCCCCAGAAGCACCTTCATAAATGGATAGACTCTTAGTATCATCATCATTCTAAATATTTATACCGATAACATGTTATTTACTGACAATTTTAATTAGCCTCTAACTCCTACAATAACCAAATGTTTAGCACCACAATAAATTTTCCTAAGACCATTTCAAAATTATATAGGTACTTATTGTGTTTTGTTGGGGTTTTGCTGAACTTTTTTTAAAAATCCTATCCTCCTAACTGAGGCAACTTCACTACAAATGCGCAGACAACATTCAGGCACAACCTGCTACAAATTCCAACTCTGTGCTGTAACACAAGACACAGAAATAACAAAGAAACACACGCTGCTTACATAGACTCTACAAACCAAACAATAAACGAGGTCTCTTCCAAGTTATTCTAGTTCTGGCTTAGGCTGCAAATAAATGCTAGTTAACCGCAACATAAAGAATGAGCTTCTGCCCACAACAGAAAGACTAATGAAATGGACACCACTTGAAACTTAAAATCTGTCCTCTCATTTCTCTTTAAAGAATATCAGAAGTTACAGTCTGAACTTCTCATATAAAATAGCCTCCTGTAAACCATTACAAACTTGAGTAGATTTAGCTAATATATACAGAAACAAACCAAAAAGATTTCACAACTAAATACATGCCTGAGGTATATTGATTCCTTTCCGTATCTGTTCTTGCTCCCATCTACTGAGCTCTTCATCTTGCTCTCCTGACACCAGTGCTTCATCATCACTTCCCTCAATACCTTAATATGGGTGAAACAGACAGGTAACAAAAAGAAGATGATGTATTCACAGTGAAGGCCACAAGCTCAAAAACCTGAGACACCATGTTTCGCTGGGAACATGTCAGCACATCCTTCTTCCCTCTTCATGAGGAATTAAGGATGCTAACCTGTGAATTACTGCCACAGAGGTTCCACTTAAAAAAATCCAATGGGTAAATTTGCAATGAACTGCTAGAAAGGCTCTCTAATGTTAAAATCTTCACTATTTTATTATGCCACTCATTCTCCTTTTCCAAATTTTACCTGCTCATCAGCAAGAAGTGTTATACCAAAGAATGAATGTTTTTCTTTTCACAGCTACATATTTCCTAAAAAACAAAGCACAAGAACAATACTACTTAAGGCTTAGTGTATGTTTCTACCTGATTCAGTAGAGTTGTGTGCTTCTAAGCACAAGAACATAGTTTGTGCCCAAAATTTTATAAGCAGATTCCATTATGGAGTACTTTTCCTTTGAAATGGAATACTCCAGATTCATGCCTGTTTGAAAAACGTGTTGTTTGAAAGTGTTGAATGGGAGCACTTGTGAAAACAGTGTGAATGTTTATCAGCTGTCCTTCTAAAAAGGTTTTACCTATTTCCTCAGCAATCTTTTGCCTTTGGGATTTTTCCTTCACTGTAAAAACTATCCTCCTCTTCTCGTCATCATCTTCATCATCACTGGCATCATTTTCATCTTCTCGAACAAGGCGGCCTTTACCTGGTTCACTGTCAACAGGGGTAAAGTCTCCAAGTTCACGAGCCATTTGACGCTTTTTCCTAGCGGCATGAATAAAAGCAGCATCTGGAATTTCTCCTAGAGACAAACGTTTGCACCATTAAACAACTGCTGCAACAAAAAGGGAATTATGACCTCTAACTAATCTCTGCCACCCTGTCAAATCATCTTTGCAAAACAAAACAAAAAAGAGAGGAGAAAAAAAAAATCCATTCTCACAGAAACATTTGCAACCAACTTGTAAGCTACACATGCAAACTTTCTGACCAGAAACTCTCAAAGCTGGGATCTCGCCCAAAAAAAGTCTGGCTCTGCTTCCAGCTGCTCACGTGCCATAAAAGAGCAGGAGTCTGATGTTCCTATGGGAAATATTCCTAATGAAGATGAGGCCCTTTACAAGAGCTGACTATTGCAAAAGGAGGAATAAAATGATGTTCTTGACTGTGTTACTTCCTGTCCTGATATTGCCCCCACCTCTCCTTCCTTTGGGGGAGGGAAAAACATCAGCCATTTCAACAGCTGGTGATAGCTCAGACATTAAGAGGACACCAAACCAGACAAAGCTAATGGGAGAAGATCAGACAATCAAGAGTGAACAAGAAAAGCTGACCTAATTAAAGAAATCTAAAATCCCTAGCACAAAATCCATGCAACTTCTATAAGTCATATAAAGAATGGTCCCCCAAGATCAGTTTCTTTAAATCTGAATAATTTTTACCACTATTTTGATTAGGAATGCAGAAAAGGTTAAATTTCTCTTTGGGCCTGACTTGAGACACACTATTCAAGCCAGCAGTATCTTTAGAGATGCAACAACATATATATCACACCATTTTGCAATTCCTCTAAAAGGAAAAATTATTTGGGAGTCAGGTAGGAAATTCTTTTTCCCTTTAAATATGGCCATATCTGTGGAGCCAGGACATCCATCTTCTATTTGGGGAGCACGCTACCACAAGTTAGCTAACAAACAGTAAACTAGTTTAAAAAAATACTATCTCAGACTGATTTCTTTGGCCTCAGGGCCTGACCAGAACCGCATTAGACAAATGAGATGGGGAAAATATTTGAGATACCTTGCAGACCTGTAACTGAGACATTCAAACTAGAGACAGAATTTTAACTGAAGGCAGTTAAAATTCATGTGAAGTCATCTATTCCAAATCTAGATTTCCTTACAGGCTGTCATCACTTTGAGAGACAAATTCCAGCTTTTGACATTAGGATGAAGTGTAAATATGGTACTTAGGGTCATGGTTTAGCAGTGTACTTGATAGTTTAACTCCATGGTTGGACTCAATGACCTTAAAGGTCTTTTCCAACCTAGACAATTGGTTCTGTAGTAAAACATTTTCTCTCATAAGGCTCATAAAAATGAACAGCTCTGGAAAATAGCAGTTTCCCAAGTTCTCAGATGCTTGATGTATAGCTGGAAAATACTTCCTAATCTCTCAAATACTTAGCCTCCTGTAAATGCTGGCTAAATTATTTGTTAATGTATCAGACATATTACAAGAACCAACCTGGGCGGAGAACATTCAGTGATGATAGTGCACTTGAAAAAGCCCCACCAGCTTTTGGTTTTTCTTCTTCCTTCTCACTTTCAACTTCCATTTCTTCTTCACCATGCTCACTGTTTGCAGTCCCATCTTCTTGACCTAGATCCTTAATCTGCCCTGTCTTTTCTAGTGGTGGTTCAACTGGTAAGACAACAAAGACCATGTTTTACCCTTTTTATGAATATCACTTGAAAGTTTGGTGTTTTTTTTTTTTTTTTTTTTTTTTAAGGTCTAACAGACAAAAAATTTAAAAGTTGAACAACAATCTTATTGTTTGAGATCTAGTAAAATACACCTTCCTAACTGTGAAGTCACTGACCTGCTCTCACAATAAAATTTGACAAAGCAGGTGTCCCAACAACCACTAAACATTCTACATATTGCCAAACATTAAAAAAGTTAGAGGGAACTCAGTAATTAAGATGGAATATGTGCAACCTTCACACAGCCTTTTATGTAAGTAAACAGAAAGCATTGCCCGTATTACACCAGAGGTTTCCACAAGAACAGCCTCATTTCAGAACAACCCTTTCATTTGCCTCTTGGGCAGGGTGCAACACTACACTACACTAGGTGGGTAACACACTATTTGTACCTGCTGCCCTTATCTGTATGTAAAACCCCACATGCTAAACCCAGCTATCCAGTCGAAGCTGCACATAACTGAGTTTTGAGAGATCTGGTTAGGGAATCTAGACTACTGACTCAGTGGCAGCCTTCAGGTCTTTGCACTATAACCAACCCAACTACAGACTGCAAACCAGACACCCAGAAAATCAGCATATGCTAGCCTTGTGCAAAATGCAATTTTTTAAGGATATTTGTGACAGAAGCAATAATTAAGATCCAGTTTCCACACATCACCTGAACATTAGCCACAGAAATTTTAATTTCTGGGTTTGCTTATGTCTCATACCACTGCACAGGCAACTTAAAGATTCCAATAAAAAAGAATTTCAGTTGTTTGTTTGTTTGTTTTTATTTTTTTATTTTTTAAATGCAGACAAAGCTTTTCAAAGTCTTTAAGATTTTTAAAAGCCTAACGTCAGTAACTTTAAAAGGGAAATTTTCTGCATGGGACCATGTTCAACTCTCATATGCTTCAGCTGTACCATTGCAATCTTCAGATCATAAGCCTCACAGCTTGCATTCATAGCATTGTACATCATTACTCTACATAAAAACCTAACAAAAAGGAGTTTACCAATAAGCTTCTCAAAAAACAATAGCAGAAGTACAATGAAATTGAAATCCCAGGATCTAGTCCAAGCTCTGAAGGACTATGCATTGTTAAAAGATCCTTTTCCTCCAACACTTTCATCTTGTCATGTTAATCATAAAGACTACCCTAAAGCTCAAGACCTGAATCAGGCAGCTGTTGAGTAACTTACTTAATAACAAAAGAATACCACTCTGCTCATCCCAAAAATCTTCCTTTTCAAGAAGAGGAGTTACAAGGACATGTTGTCAGATGAGCACCAGGTACAGTTCTAAACTAACTTGATTCCTTCCTAACTCAACAGGAAGAAACTCATCTGACAAACAGAGCTGAAATACAAAAACTACTGAGATCTACCGACAACCGAATAGGTAGCCAAGAAACTTCATCCTTCTGCAGTCATTCCTACATAAGAAAGAACCAAAGGATTGCCTACCAGCTTCAGACCAGCATTTGTAAGGTTCAAATGAACACAATTAAGGCAGACTTTACATCAAGTTCTAAATGCTAAATCCTCTAAAAAGACTAACAATTCATCTTGCAAACAAGTAATTTGTATTTAAAATAGTTAATCTTTTGCATTACAAAAGTTAGTTCACTTTGCAGTTACCATCTGTTGGAGAATTGACCTCTGTTCTAACTTTTGATTTTTCAAGATCTTCTTTGTATTCTTTCTTCAATTGTTTTACAATCTTTTTGCTGTAACTTGATTTCTTCACTTTAAAAACTTCTTCAGTTTCTTTAAAAGAGAAGTTGGAAAACATTACATCAGGCCTGCCAAGAAGTAGACTTACTTTCTTAAGTCTGTAGCTAGAACTTAATGAATGCCATTAACAACATAATTTAACGTGACTTTACATCTGCACTGTTGCAACAAAACCAGTCCTATACCCTTTCATGTGGACTCATGTCTACCTCATCTTTTTGATGTCATTTTCAAGTGTACTCATCCTGCTCACAGAATGGTCACAGAAAAGCAAGGCAGAAGTTATACAAAACTGTCCACATACGGCCAGCTTGTATCTGACTAAAGTAATCTTTAAAAAAAAAAAATACACACAAAAACAAAACCCAACACCAACAAAAAACCCACAGCTGATTCTTCACTGTGACCACAAATTTGGAAGAAAATTACATAAAGCCCAAACATTTTGGGTCAATAGGCTTTTCACCGGTACACATATACACAACTAACGAGTAAAGAGATGGCTGGTTTTGGTTGTATTGCCACCACAACTGCCTGCGGCATTACAACCTGCCAAAGGGCATGCAATCAGAACTAGGTGGCAACAAAAACAATCGAATTTTGATGTATGAAATCCAGAAATACTTGGGTTTTAAAGTCTATAGTGTCATTCCTTGTTTCCAGTATTTCTAGCAAGATTTCAAAGCACTATTCTTAGAATCTGAATTCCAGTGATTACAAAATAATTCCTTGTAAGAAAATTCAAAATGTATACTAACTCTTCTGCTGACAACAGATATCACAAAAATAAGCTCCTCATTCATCCTGAACTTCTAGAATGCAATGAACTCTGGAATTTGAAGAGGGGATTTGGATAATTTTTTTTAATAGGTAATAACTATTATCCTTATTCATATTATCTAAGTGCGAATGAACCAATTCATCAGTGCAGTACCTGTTGGAATCCCACAAAATTATTAGCTGAAACACTATACAAACACAAATATGCTACCTTCCAAAAAGTTGGGGTCTAGAAACCACCCAAGCACTTTTTCCACTATTTGTGAAGGTTAATTTACTAAACTTTTGGACGGCTAAATTAACTAACTCCACAACAAAACACCTGTGGCTTCACATGGAATTTGCTACGACAACAAGGAGACCAACGTGACCTGTGAACATGAGTCACATCAGATAAAAACAACCTCGACACAAAGCCGTACGAAAGATGCCCCATAACCATTACTGCTGGTCCGGGGTGGGGGCGCAGGGGGCGTTGCACAGCTGCTGGCCCTAGTACCTGCTGCCCAACAAACCCAGGACAGGCTAAAGCCTGCGTCCTGATCAGCAACCCACCCAGCTACAGTGAGCACAACACGCGTCCAAACAGCAACCCAAGCGGGGCAATCCACCCCGCCGAACTGGAATGAAACCCGCAGAACATCACCCCGCTGCTCGGAGCTTTGCAGGCCCCCCGGGAGCCGCGTCAGGCCCGATAAAGGAGTGGGGCTGAAGGCGGCTGCCCCCTGCCCGTGAATCGCTGCCGCCCGCACCGCGCCCCCAAGGGTTCTCCTGCTCCTAAAAAAGATAAATAAAACAAGGGTCCCTGTTCTCCCGGGGGACGGAGGGGTGCACAGACGACGGGGAGACGCGATGCGGGCTGAGTGGCTCCGAATCCCTTCCATCCCTGCATGCAGCAAACCAAAGGCCCCGCGGCCTCGGTGCCCGCGGGCGGGCAACCCCCATCCTCACCCTCCTCCTCGTCCTGGAAGCTAAGCAGGCTGGCCCGCGGCACCTCTTTGTTCTCTCGCGCTCGCTTCTTGTCCTTG